GATTGAGAGTTGAGGTGAAGTAGCTGGTGCAGAAGTTGTTCTCCTCAGTCTGTGGTTGGACCAACTGAACACATTGCCAAACTCTTTGCCACTGCACGTTGCATTTTGAGCTGCTAAACTCTTTGAAGCTGTGATGAAAGCTGAATACCCGGTTAGTGACAAAGCATGAATAACTGTAACTGATAGTTGTCCTTGTCTTGGCTGCTTGTTACTCACATCTGTTTCTGTATGATCCACAGTGGAAGTGCTGTACAACTCATAGCTTAAAACTGTTTGCACTTTGTTAATAAAATGAATGTTGAACTCTGATGTGAAGTCTTAGGTGTTTGTGTGTAAAGAAGTAAACTGGCAGAGCGAGTCTGGCGGGGCAGGCAGCACACTGCTGCCACGCTGGCCTTGCTCTGGGGTCCTGTGCTGCTGCAATGCCTGATGGCTTACGCAAGAACATTTTCCTGCCGTACACTTGTCACTTCTTTCCTGAATTATTAAATGAAAAGCACTTAAATCCACCTGGCATTTTTAAAGCTGTGTTGGTAGGAGCCAGACCAAATGCTTAAATCTTGTATATTCAAGTAGGAATTGAGAAGGAGCTACTGTTTTTACCCAGACTTGCTGCTTTGCTGGGTAAGCCGCTGTATTTCTCAGCTAAAGGCAGGAGATGCAGCCCCAGGCTGCCTCCTGCATGGCTCCTGCAACTGCTGAGCACTGAAGGTGGCCTGCGAGGAGCTGCACACCAGCATCGGGCATTGTGAGCCTTTACTGTTGTACGGGGCTGCAGGTTGATGATTATACAGCTCAATTAGCAGTAATCACAGAGCTCTGCCTCTTCAGCACTCACAGATGCTTTACTGTCTTAATAAGAGGCCTGAGCTGAAGGAAATGATCGTGATTAGCCACATGATCTGTCTTGGAGTTGGTGTCCATGCTCTGCAAGGACAGGAAAGGATGCTTTGCTTACCTTACAAAGAACTTCTACAGCTGTTTTTTTTTAAACAAGAGGTGGGGAAAGAGACTTGAAAGTCATATTTACCTCTAACTGACCCTGTGCTGTACCAGCCCCTGCGTAACCATACGGGTCAGTGCTGAACAGGCTTATTTTCTGTTACACATTACACAAAAATCTGCTTTCACTGCAGTAAAGACACTTGATTCCAGTGCTGGTTGCTATCTTTGTTAGCTCTGAAGTAAACAGACTATTGGAAGTGTGGTTTAAATTACTGTTTTATTAAGATATTGGTAAAACTTCAACAGGTTTTCTGTATAAACAGCTTTCATAAATAAAATACGGATGACTAATACATGGTTGTAACCTAACTCAGATGTGAACTGTAGAACAGGACTGCAAATTGAAAGTGCCGACACCGTTAAATGGTTAGCTTTAATTTATTCACTTCATAAAGAACATGTCAGCTTCATGAACAAGATAATACAGAAAGGTCAACAGGAGCACCCAGTGCAGCAGCGGCCACCGTGCCTGGCTGTCACACAAGTACTCCTGTAGGAGCCAGAAGTACTGGGAGTGACCACAGCTGGTGTCCCCTGTTCTTGCTCCAAGGTGTTCTCTAAAGTGAAGGAGAGGAAAAAAAACCTAACGAAACACAACTGTGACATACAATCGTTGTACTAGACCCTCATCGGTGGGGTTTATTTTTCCTTTAGCTTTAATGCTGGCAAGTATAGTGCGGTCGCCTGATCAGCGAGGACTGGAAAAGGATACAAACATTTAAGTCGGAGGTTGTTAATGCTTCATTATTACTTATTGCACATGATACAAGGGTAGAAAGTTTTGTTCCTGTTGCAAAGAGGCTATGAATTAAAGAAAGATTGCCCTAAATTACAGGCATGAACAAAGCTGCAGTATCCCCTTGGATTGCTTTGTTTATGTGACTAGTGCTGAGTGAATGAATTGTGCTCAAACAGCCCCTAATTTAGACCAATCTTTCTCATTTTTCCCACAGAACATTGCCAGGGTCAGGAGGATTTAGTGAGGAGATAGTGGCCCTGAACTGCAGCAGCCATGCCTATAAAAACAGAATTGTTATGCCTCATCTTATCATCTGCCCATAGGACAACATGTTTCTCACTGACACACAGTGTTCCAAAAACAGAGCGGAGTTTCTGTGAGGATGCACCACCATAAATGTGGCGTAACTTAAAGTCTGCTTTGACATTGTCCTTCAGCGTTACGGTGCAATCTAAATCAAATACTGGATGGTGTGAACTTGCAAGGACAATGGATGGCACTTCTAGGTAAAGAAGAGTTATATACATGCATTTCCACCCACCTTTAGTGCAAATCGAAATGGGTTAACAGCTCCCTGGTCTGGTGCTATACTGCTCTCTGCAACACAGACATTCCTCAGAGTTGCACATCGAGAAGTGTACACAGGAAACTTCCAGTGTGGGGACTGCGTGAATCCCGCCAGTACTCACAGTGAAGAGCGGATGAGCAAGTTTTGAGTGGCTTCAGCCAAAGCGCCTGGAGCTCGCGTCTCAAAACCAACACGGTTAAAACAAAGAAGATCAATGTTTTTGCTACCTACCTCCTAGCTCTGCACACACGGTTAACACGTCAACTGAAACTGATGCGGGTTGTGTTAACGCGGAAAAGGGATACTTCAGCTCTTTATTGGAAAGATTTGTTATACAAATTTCACCAGCACTAAGATACACAATAAAAATACAAAACACAGGTCACAGACTGAATCTCAGTATCAACAGTTAATAAATACAATTAGATACTTTATATTAGCCTAATATTTTTACATTGTCACCAGATAGACGATCAAAGTACAAGATACAGAACACTTAGATACCAGTAGAGAGGGATTATTGCTTACGTGAGCAAGCAGCAAATAAGGGCACAGGATTTTGAACTGAAGAGAACTACTTCCTATCACCAGTGGCATTAAGAGAAAACACTGCATTTCACAAAGCACTGCTTTTTTGTCTAGTGTGTAGAATCAAGAGCAGCATATATCAGACCAATAATCACTACTTTTAATATTATAGAACTTTAAAGGACTTACCTTACAAATGGTTCCTATCTACTCTATAAATATGCATTTAGTGAAGAAATGAACACTTGCTATCTATACAATGGCTTTACTTGACCACACTGGAACTACGATGGTAGATTTTTTTGTTTTTTCTTCTAGCAAGATACATGGTATGAGTCGCAGAATTATCATTAGTTATGAATCCACACCTAAAAAGCTGGCTCCTTCCCAAACCAGCACACATGCAGCCCAGTGCTCTTCAACTGCTCCTGCAGACTGGGAAGAAGTTTATCATCCGTAACAGCTTCGCATTCCGGTTTACTCACACGAAGAATTGCACTTACACCACCTTTCTCTCCGAAGCACGACAGTCAGCTCTAAGATGGACTTTCAGTGCGTCGTTATTACTGTGAATAATTTAAAACAAAGGCACCACAGAGATGCCCCAGAGTTGCATATTTTACTGTTTCATGGTATCTCAAATTTCTTCAGTAAATCTGACTCGGAACGTATGCTGCAGCTAAAGAGAACATTGACAACAGCTAAGGCTTAATAAGATGACAGATAAGAGCCAATGATCCCATAAGATTAAAAAAAAGTCAGAAAAAGATCAAAGGAATCTAAAGCCACGCTCCAACTCCCAGTTACTCGCAAAGCCTTTTGCTCTTCATCAGATTGCTTTTAAAATAGTGCATCAAAGATAGGAGAAGCGGAAATTGGCAGAATGCAAACCTTGCCATCTCATCGGGTTGAATAATCTCCCAACTACTTAATACTAAAATACTTCGCAAATTCTAGCTAAATACTAATACTGTTACTGCTAAAATGATATGAATTGTACAGTAAATGCCTGTGAAGACTTACTTCACTCATACTCCTCCAGATGTCTTGCTGTAACCAAGAACAGTAACAGGATGTGTATTGAGCAGAGCTGGCAGGAATCGTCTGCTTATTTACGTCCCGATTAACCGCTCCCCTGAGGGTTTAACATCACCTCAGAGCAGGGCAGAGCTGGTGAGCACTGGTGGTTTCCCAGGTTGAGAAATACTGCTCTGCTTATGAAAACAAGGGCACCTGACCTCACTTTCCTTTCCAAACCCAGGTTTAACCAAAGCAGAGCTCTGGCTCATCAGTACATTTTTCCCTCTCCGCAGCTCCTGCTCATCGGCATCCACGGCATTTCAGTTTGCTTTGCATTGCTCCACCTGCCCGGCATCCATCCCTGCG